ACGTGTTTACTACGAACAGCTGTAATTAGTATTACGAATTATTCATCTGTTTAAGTAAAAAATAATCTTTTCTTCATAAGAAATACATTGAGATTTTTTGATGACCCGTGGGGTAAAGCCTGAGAACTTTTATTACAGGAATTTGTGAAAAAGGGCGTCTACATAAACAAAAAATGCTTAATTTTGACACATCGTTTGTAAAAAAATTCGTTCATTATTAACAGAGGATTAGTGTTTCGTAGAAATCGCCTTCACGTAGTAGGAGGGAATAGAGCTACAGAAAATAAACATGTGAAATGCTCGTTACTCAAATATAAATTAGCATTGCAATATGAATAACCTCTAGATTATGTAGAATAAATAATAACCAGCCTTAATCTTCAAGCTTCTAGCTAAAAAGAATCAAACTATACCTTATGTATATTTATATACAATTAATATTTACCTGTGATAATGAAACGTCTTGAGAACTGCTGAAATATTCAAACTGAAATATACGACTGAATCTAGCTGCAAACAGGCTAACTGTAGAATATTACTTTTACCATCCTTTCACTATTTAACAATTAACTAATGAATGTTTGCAATGGTCAAATAGTTTTACTTTATAATGTTCCAGATAGAAACGTTCTGAATACAAAACTTTAAAGATCTAGCTTGCTGCGATGTTTTTTATTTCGACGTAAAAGAACCAAGTAAAGAGTATTTTCTCAATGACAGTGGGGTGATTGAACGTTTCAGCTCTCTGGATTGGAACATTGCATAGATGAGCATAGATGTTCTATGTTCTATCACGAAGAACGAACCGTTGAAACACATGCGGGCGTTACAGGGATCTTCACTAACTGGAGAAGCTACCGTTGAAACAATGAAATTACCAGTACCCGCATTAGTTTTGGTCTACACGCTTTGTCAATTCATTTTGTTTTCATTTGAATTAAAAGGATATTTTTCCAAATTGGTTTTAAAATAACAAACAATTTGCAAGTCAACAATTTTGTTAGGGATTGTACACAACCTCTTGATGACACGTTGTAGCTTACGTGATAGTGTTAATATAAATATCTCACAGTAGGTTTATATAATGTAAAAGATTGTTTGCTAAAAAACGCAAATTTGCTTTAAAATTAATTGTAGATAACAGTATTGAAGGAAGGGATTTTATTTTGTACACATTGGTTGTTTATACAATACATCTATATTGTTTGATTGGTAAACTCGCATAGAGTGGTTACACTAGAAACAGACAAATTGAATCCAACAATTCAGAGTACAATAATAACAATATACAAGATAACACTATTTTATCCACTACAGATAATATTCCTCATCTGATCTACAACAAACCATTACATCAAGACACTCATATATTCAACAGATATATATACATATATATATATAATATCATCCAGTTTAAATGGATCCGACTTTAGCATGGAAGTGTTAGATGTATTAGAGATACTGGATGACGGTGAAAGAAACCGTTACATGTGAACGTAGTTAACAGTGAAAATAGTGAACGGTGAAAATAGTTAAATTAAATAGCTTTCTGTACCACAGGTAGCAATACAAAACCAAAAACCACTTTCCACTAATTTTTATCGCATAAAGGACAAACATAGAACAAACAATAAACAGAACTGGACATTGAATTTTATAAATACAAACAAGAATATTTGATAAGAGTTGGCATTTGTTTTATTAAATAGTAAATAACTGTGTAGATAGTGGGAAATTTGGTTTTTTTTATATAGCTTGATCGCTTTGTACATCTACCATTATATGTTTTACGATTTGATTGGTAAACTTGAATACCAATTGTGTCACAAACTGTTATAAGAATTATTCACAATTTTTACTGGAACATTCATTGCTATATATTACTGTTGATTTTGTATTGAAGCGATTTTTTTATGTATATGAGTGGTTATTTGTTGTAGATTAAACAATGTGTAGTATACCAAGTGTTTGTTATTTGAAAAAACCATTCGAAACATATAGATTTGAATGAATGGGTGAGTCTTGTTGAAATAGAAATATCAAGGTACTATGTTTAAACCGCGGCACGTAGTTGTAATTAGTAGAGCAATGCTCTGCCCGCATACCGCCAACTGTTAAACAGCTGATACACCTTGCAGGATTAAAGTGTTGTTTTAGTTTGGATCTGAATTTTATGTTTGTAATAGTAAAATAATAAAATAGTGGTTATATTAAGTTTTATGTACGGAACATTGCAAACCAAAAAATCAAAAAACACTTTTTCGTAATATGTACATAATAACAAACTTTTCACTTAACGATCTCATAAAATGTAAAGACAGAAGTGGTAATAGTTCAATTGCGACTGTTTGTTGTATATAAACAATGATTCTAGGTAGCCATTAGAAAAAACTATAAAAGAAGGTTTAAGATCGGGTCTCTCATCAGTCTGTTGTGAAACTAGCTAAAGACAACATCTTATTAAAAAAGATTGTTTGCTAAAATCAGTAATTTGTATTAAAATTAATTGAAGATATCAGTATTGAGGAGGGTATTTTTAGCTTATACACCTTGATTATTTATACATGTACCAGTACATCTATATTATCTGATTGGTAAACTCGCATAAAGTGGTTTCACTAGAGACAGACAAATGGAATCCAACAATTCAAAGTTAAATAATAACAACATACAAGATAACACTATTTCATCCACTACAGATAATATTCCTTATCTGAGCTACAATAGAGCATTACATCAAGACATTCCAGAACAAATAAATATAATATCATCTAGTGTAAAAAGATCCATATTTAGCAAGGAAGTGATGGATATATTAGAAAGACTGGTTGACGGTGAAAGAAGCCTTACCTAACATTTGAACATATTTAACAGTGGAATTAGTTAAATTGAATAGTTTTCTGTACTACAACTAGCAATAAAAAAACATTCAAACAGTTTCACAAAAGGACAAACGATAAACAGAAATACGTTGGATTACAATACAACCAAGAGTAATGAGAGTTAACATTTGCTTTAAATAAATAGTAAATTATAGGGTAAAGAGTGGGAAATTTGTTTTTATATAGCTTGATCGTTTGTACGTCTAACATTAAGCAATGTACAATATACCAAATGTTTGTTATTTTAAAAATCATTCAAAAACATAACGATTTGGATGAATAAACAAGTCTTAGAAATATAAGGTACTATGTTGCAAATGTGGCATATGGTTGTAATTAGTGGAACAATGCTCTGCCCGCATGTACCGCCAACTGTTCACGAAGTAGAAACTCTGTACATCACTTTTCCATACCAGTTAAATAGCTGATACACCTTGCAGGATTAAAGTGATATTTTAGTTTAGTTCTGAATTTATGTTTATAATGGTGACATAATAAAATAGTGGTTTTTAATAAGTTTTCTCACAGAAACATTGCAAACCAAAATCCAAACACTTTTCGTAATATGTACATAATAACAAACTTTTCACTTGACGATCTTATAAAATGCAAAGACAAAAGTGGAAATATTTCAATTGCGAATGTTTGCTGTATACCAGATAGCAATCATAAACAGCATAAAAGAATGTGTATGATGGGTCTCTCATTAGTCTGTAGTGGAACTAGCTAAAGACAACATCTCATTAACAACAAATTATATCGCAAACATTGCAAAGGTAACATGTACAAATAGTTATCTCCAACAGTTTTATGTCGTATATATAGCTAATTTCTCAAATTTAACAAAATTCCTACTATGTTTCCAATAAAAGAAGCAAACTTTGAGTGTATAATATGCATGGACAAAAAAATCGTAATTTACTCTTCTTACCAATGCAAACACTGTTTCGCTTGCGACATGTGTGGATGACAATTTGACAACTGTTGTTACTGTAGTAGACCTAACTCTATGATCCAAATGTTTAGTTTAGCTTAGATCTGTATTAGGTTTAAGTTTGAAAACAATTATATTCCTCGTATGTCAATTTTGATTTTTCAATAAAGAATTTAAAAATCAGCATATCGGTACTTATCCCTTTACCGATATGCTGTTTTTTTTTAAACCACAACAATAACCTTGAAAATATCGATCCACCTAACTTTCACACCTCAGCATGTCGTCATCATGACGTCACCATACCGTAACCCACCACACCACGTGCTAGGTCACGCACCATTACCACCAGATGCTTAACCGTCAATTAAGCACCACATGGCTCTTGTGACGTCACTCCCCAGCAGCCCTATGTATCCACTACTTACCGAATTGCCTTCATTTCAGTCATTTTCAAAATTAGTACTTTTTATCTTGAGTGGTGTACAGCTTCCACCATTCGAATGTAAACTCTAGCTCCAAAATGTTATTAGGTCTGTAGTTTGAGAGGTAGCATAAGTATAAAGTAGAATACGGATGTAAAACTATAAAACTATACGGTTACGGCGTTTAATCCATTTTATGTGTACCCTTGCAGCTGAATTTCAATGGTAATATTAAACTCTTTTCGTTCACAGTTTTATTTATTTCTCTTCCTATGAGTTACCTTTGATATTATACGTATAAGGTAATTAAAATGTTTTTGTAGTTTACTTTAAGAGATTTCCAACGGGATACGCTTTACATGCTTCAATGTAAGGCGTATCCCGTTGGAAATCTCTTTGAGACAGAGCCGTTAGAATATTCGTTGATACCAATACATTTCAGCAAACCCACAAACTTTATACTTCTGATTGATTGTGATTTTGATCTATCATAGGCCTAAGTTTTTATTTGGTAAAAGGCCTTAATCGATGACTACAAATTCGACTGTATCAGTTTATTAATATAACAGATTATTTTGAGTTGATACATCCTTTTGAAGACAGTTCAATTGCTGATCAAATAAAGAGTTTTCTTTAAGGATAACTTCTGCTGATGTTTGGACTGAAGACACCTTTACCAGACACAACGAGTGTAGTGTCACATAAATCAAGTATTAAATCAAAGATATCATATAAAGGAGTAAAAAAAGACATTTTGCATACCAGAATATTCATAACTTTATTACCATTATATACGATCTGTTCTATTTTACAAATAGTGTTGCTTAAATTAAATTAACTCTACATTAACATAAAAGCAAATTGAACTTGTTCATAAGTCATAAATATAGATAGACGACCACATTGGGAGACTATATACAAAAAACTATTCGAGGTTTCGGTTTTCATTTGGATAGTAAGACACTGCCTATGACAATGGTAAAGTGAAATAAAAGAGTTTAGCTACTATTTGGGTAGGTAGATAGACTAAGCAAGTGAACAGATAAAGCATCGTAATAGTTTATATACAACAGAAATATATACATTAATTTCTGCGCTTAATGTTATGCGTTATCAATGTGCTTAGTTAAAATAACCATAAATAATTATAAAAATGCAGCTTAAACAGTAAACTTGTATGAAATTTACTTTTGCAAATTATAGTCGTTAAGTATAAAAATATTTGCGTAAATAATTGTGCAAAAATTTGGACCCTACAAAAGTCGGGAGACGACCAGCGTCGAGTCGGGTCTAACTACGCGGCTACAACTCACTACTGTAACATGCGGTACAAAATACACGGGCTTCTCCACAGCGGACCCGTCTCACTCCGGGGGCCAGGAACAAAATCAATGATTTAAAATTCTAATTGGATAAAACTTAAGTGTCCAAGTATTTGTGTTCAATACCTTTCCCATTCTTCTCATTGGCCCTATTTTGAAATTTTTGTTTACCATAGCATAAATGAATAACAGCAGTTGTATTAATAGTCAAAGATAACAGTCAATGCTAAATTGTATGATTTAAAACTTCAACGTGAAATGATTCATTTCATTTAGATCAAAACAAAACTCACTTAAAATATTTTCAACAACGTACAAAACATAATTCAATGAAATAATTAATTGTTAAATTGCCCTTTTTCTCTTTAACGATATATATAAACTAAAATAGCTGTCTGTTTTAGCACACCAAGATGAAAATTGGAAGTACTTACCTGAAGCACTCAATAGGGGCTACCTGATTGAAGAATAACATTTTTTAAATTGTTGGTGTGAAGAAACCCGACTGATATTGTGGAACCCCACAACTTGATATTAACACAAAAATCGGTATTTTAATTTTCATGCCAAGCTCTTGCATTCTTTTTTGTGTTTATGATTACTGTAATCTGATCACTCCCAACAATTTCTATGCTTTTGTACGTCTTATGCAAACACAACTATAATAATATCTATGAGCTTTAAGACTCTGTAATTTTTAATCTCATCACAGTTTTTTTTCAATAGTCATTTAAAGTTACTGAAATCAAAACTATAGTTTAAAAAGTTAAAACTTAACATAATTATTTTTAACTTTTTAAAATATTGAATATAAAACCGCATTAGTTTTTTCGTAACGCAAATATTCGAAAACTCGCCCTATATTTTGATAAAAATATACCCTCTATATTTTAAGCGAGATCTTTGTTAACAGAAATCACAGCCTTCCAAAACCTACTCTCATGCCAAGTGATATGCCAATATATCTCCCTAAAGTTACGTACAAACTACCCTAACACGTCCACGTATCTTTAGACAACAACCCGTTGAAAACTAAGAAACGCATTTTGCAGAAAGATCTAGAACATAATTAGTGAGTTTGACGTATGTTTGATGACTCTAAATGAATAACATCTTGTCTATCATGGAACAGTAAGAGTAAATGTATGAATAACGTTTTGTTTTGTACGAATACCTTCACTTCTCATTCTGACTGAATAAAAGGTAGACAAACATGTCACAACAGACAAAATGCTGTCTGTTAAGGTAGATTATGTATCTCTTTTTGTCATTTTATTTTTCAGGTAGATAAATTTAAAAAGTTACCTAACAATCTCTATTACAGTTCTCTAGCTATGTTAAGTTTTAAAATCAAGGATTCCACTAAACTCTAAAACACTGCTAACACATTATTGTATTTACCAAAACACATATTACGTGGGTTGTTAGTAACATAGTACGCTAATTAAGTAAAAGTGTGGCAGGAAAGAAGAATGTTTCTAGTTGTCAATGTGTGTTAGTGCAAGTGTAGCACAATATATTTCAATGTGTGCTACACTTGCACACTGCTTACAAAGCTAATGTTTTTTCCAACCTTTGCATGTGTTACGGTTTATTAGTTAATAGTGTCGAATTTATATAGGTGAATGTTTATTACGAGCCAGTTTAGTGATAGAGGTTTGATAATAATCCGCCCAAGATAGAGCGGTGGCTGCAGCAAGTGGGGAGTTAGCGGTAGCCTCGCCTCACTTGCTCTTCAAGTGCAATCCATCTGTATTATTTACTTGCTGTTCTCAGTCGATATAGTATGTATGATTTAACTCTTAGAATGTGGTAAATATTTAAATGTTGAATAAACTTGTGTTAAATGTTGTATAATTATTATTCTACCGTTTAATAGTGTTTAAACTAATACTATCCACCGTAGTATATCTGTGATATTACTCGGAGTAGAATCAAAGACAAAAGCGACTTTTTAAAGTTAGAATAAATTTCATCAACTTGAAATGCTTGTTTTATTTTCAATGAGGAAACTTTTCACTTCATTCCATTATGATTGGGTTCGTAAAACAGCTTTAATTACTTTTAAAATGATTAGTTTTGATGAGTTTAAATAGCATTAAAACCAGTTTTGATTTTATTTAGTTGTAATATTAATTATTTAAATGTTCGGCGCTTGTAAGTTTAAACTGAATATTTTTTTTATTTCTTGCATATTTTACATTACAATGTTTTTAATTTATGCAAAACCAAGACGTTTTCAACTTTTCTTATTTTGTATTTTGGCACTGAATGTCATTTTATGTTTTATGGTCATGCTGTATGTTGGATTACATTTTACTCCTCTCCTCATGAGCCTTCTTGACAATGGCCAGTTTAGAGTGAGGATCGGACACAGGCAAGTCGCTGTAGGGAGGGTCCCTGGTGCCGTGCAGCATCAGAGTCCATTCCTTGATGAAGCCGGACTGGACGCAATCTGAGTTGAATCGAACCTGAAAAAGGAAATTACGAGTCAAAGAGTGGCATTAATTGGCATCAATGTTAGCATAAATATCCATCACTACTATGTCCACTGGTAAAACAAATCAGTACACTATAATAACTAAATTAAAAGTAAAAAAAAAAAAAAATACTTCAATAATTTAATCAAATAAGTAATAAGCCTTTAACTAAGATTGAACAAATCTGCCTTTACAACAATAATTTGATCGTATATTATGTTTTAAGGTATTTTATTATGACGTTGCTATAATTATGAATTGAAAAAGGGGATTTTTTGAACCAGGTACAAAATGTATGGTTAATATTAACTGTAGTTTGTATGGATTGCTTTCTATCATCTGCACCATTTAAATTTATTCCATGAAAAATCGCAGTAGTTATACTTGGGAACTAATAATAGATAGATGTCCTTTTCCAGTGATATGGATATAAAAATTCAGACAGGATCTAAGATGACGTAATTTTATTACACATTTTTCCATTTCATTAAATATCTATTTTCAAATTTAGATATCTCCTTGATACTTAACTATTTAAGTGCTAGTGACAATAAGTTTATTAGCTTTTACACAATCATTTTCACCAGAAAACCAGTTATATTGACAAAGAAAGCAGGTCCGTTACCTCCAGAATCCATGTTCCCTGCGGGTACTCGCCCCAGGTGTGGGTGGTCATGAAGGGCCACTTGGTGAAGCCGTCACGTCGGTCATCGTCGTTCACTCGCTTGCTGAGAATCATAGACCTGCAACACCAGAGAATGCTGTAGAGTAGCACACACCCAGAGTACGATGTCCGGCGTGATATAAGGGCTGATTAGCTAAATATTTTAGACAAAAGTTGATGGAGGCCAATCAATTTTATTTTTTTTAATACATTACTTCCATCATTATTTTTATTGGTCCTGTATCGTATGCTAGTTTCAGTAGAAAACTTGATAAAAAAATGTAACTCCAAACGTTTGGGATAAACGTATTAGAAATAAAATAACAAAAATAAATCCAACACTCTACTAGACTGATAGGCTGCGAACAAATATCACAAAAAACAGCCGTTAACTTTTAATAGTTGTAAATATAAGTTGTTGTTAATTATAAGTTGTAAATATGAAAACCTATCAGGCTTAAACGTAATAATCTATCTTTATATATTTAATTGTATTTCTTGTAACATGACGTGTTTTTTTTTTTTTTTTTTTTTTTTTTTTTAATTGCTTAAGAAAAACGGATGAAATTAACAAACCCTTAAAATGTAGCATTTTCTTCTTGGAACAGATAAAGTAAGTTTTCGTGTACAACACATATGTGGACCATTTTCGTAATGAATAAACGACCAACAGAGATTAATATTACCTTGTGCCCATAGGGGATGTAAGGAATAGTTCCACGTCTCCTCTCCTAGTAGCGTTCAGAGTGATGACTGCCTGCACATGCTCCAAGTAGCTGACCTGAGTGTCCGTCCCTTGGCAAGCGTTGGTCGTGATCTTGAGGTACACGGATCTGCTGCTCGGTATCATTCTGCAAATACAGTGACATGGGGGCCTTAGTGATCTCAACTTGTTTAGTAGGTACTCCCGGGAGATTTATATTGGTAATATAATTATGTGTAATGTTAATCTAAAATATGTTTATAAGTTTTTTTTTTAGTTTTCAACAAACATTTCCACAATTTAATTTTGCATTAAGTCACAATGCTTTTTGTTATTTGAGTATACAAAAGTGTTAGTTAAAATGACCCTAAAAATCTAACCATGTAAATGCTTTAATGAAAAATCAAGATTGTTTTTAAAGCAGAAATACGATGTTTAAAAAGAAACCCCATACAATAGGTGACAGTTTAAACTCCCTTGTTCCTCCCATTTCCATAACACATGGGCCCAGTATCAGATGGTACCAGCTGTCTCTGTGTAGACGTAGTCATGTAATTGTATTACGATCCGGTGGGAGGTTCTCTGTTATTGACAGAATTGTTACTTAGCTCAACCACCCCTTTCTCCTTTATCCGCACCTCTCGATCGCATCTTACTTTATTTCCTTCGCTTCCTATTGCTGAGGTTCAATAATAACCGGCTATGACTTCAGGTCGATATTTTACGTAAATATGCTGCCTTATGGCTAAATAGCGACATTGCTAAGAGGAAACTAAACACAATAAGAAAAGCAAGTATAATACAAATTTCCTGCTGTTTTACCATGTGTGAATTATGTTTTGAATTATAAGAAATATTGCAGAACAAATCATTTTACTGCTTCAAAATAACGTTCTTGAACATGTTTGTTAGTAGCAGTGCATATTAATAAATTCATCCTTTTATTTCAAAGTGTTTTAGCGAATTTCCCATATAGGGAATAAGCTATTACCGTAGGTCTCATGGTAAGACCTAGACCCGGGACCGATTTACTTTTTCGTTTTGAGGTCCCCAGAGGCCAAAAACACCATCCGTTCAAATTCATATATATATATTTATATATGTGTCCGTTAGCGCGATAACTCGAGCAAAATTGATCCGATTTTGATGAAATTTGGTACAAACGTGTAAACCTACATTTATTCGAACGAGTTCGCGAACCAGCATAATCGGACCATGGGATCAGGGGTTTATGGGGGGTTTTATGGGGTAAAAATGGGTTTTTCTAATTTTTGACTCTAAAAACTTAACATTTCTAAATTTCTCTCGAGACCATTTTGAAGAGCTTAAAAAAACAAATAATTTAGTATATTGAAGTGTTTTTGAATGTACATTGACTACGGAGAAAATTTAAAAAATTGTAAATTTAAAATTCCCATGTTATTCTTATGGAGAATAAATAAACTGTTCTAGTTTGCTTGTTTATGGATATATTTTAATCAAATTTGGCAATTTGGTTTATTTCATACTAAGCTATCAATATTTCAATTGAAAAAACACATCTCAACATCTTCCCCATAGCAGCAAACCTAACTACTCACTAAAATTAATGTTATTTAAATAGGAAATAAATCTGAAAATTTATAGGGAATATTTTAGTAGAAATCAAGCCGGGTAAATGGAAATTCGCTTAGTATGCAGGTTTGCTGCGACGGGGGTATTTTCTTTTTACTATTGATATATCAGTTGTGCCATGTTGTGCTCACTTGGTCTCAATGACTTTTCCTCCCTCGCAGTGATATCTGGCAGGAACAGTCTTCCACTGTTTAGCAAGAGCCACCATCGCTCCGGCGTCCAACACTCCAAAGCCGAACAAGTGGTTGAACTCTAGACCAACGCCATTCATTGTCCAGTGGAACCTTCCCTTGGCATCAAACAGTGAGTTCCGTTTGGAGGTCAACACGGTCAGATGCTGAATGTCTCGCCAAGTCAACTGTGTGCTGCAACAAACAAAATGAAATTTGTCTTAGAAATACATTAAAATCTAAACAGTGAGCCTTATGGATTACTAAATTTGCAACAAAATGACAACGAAAATTTTATACATCAACTAAAGAATAGTTAGTACAGCCAAATCGAGTCACCTGTGTTTTCTCTTAATCTAATCCGATAGTTAGATTTGAAAACAACCGTATTAGAGAAAGGTGGTAGGCTACGTCAAATTTAAGACAAAATAAATCAATATAACGGATGATTATAAACAACCCTTAAAACCAGAGGTTTTTAATTTATGACTGGAGGACAGTGACATGATTTCCTTACAACTGAAGTTAGCGCGTTATAGTAAACGTAACGGCACCGTTGATATACCTGGGTATAGGGGTTGTAAAGGCTTGGTCCCCCTGGTACTGGATAATAATAACTACCGTACTTCATTTATGATGTAGACATAAATGTGACACATTGTGATCGAGATGGTAAGTTAGGATAAGAAAACATGGTTAATCATCAAACTATTAGGCCCCTAACCTTTTTTTTGTAACGATTACCATAATATCAGTACTTAAATGAATAAAACAAAATACAATTCGTAGACATCAATACGTTTTGCTTTAATTGTTCAGTTACAACTCCCATGGGACAGTTCAGCTGTACCGAAGTTTCTAAACGCACACGAACAAACTTAGCAAATGATCGGGAACGACACTGACGGCTTATCTAACTTGTAGGCTACTCTTTTAATAAACGTTGATAATTTATAAAACTCCGAAGTTTTCATAGTATGTTTTTACCAATCCAAAGTTTGCAAGGTCTTTTATTTAGTTTTTTTCGTCGGTTTGTTTAACGTATAGAACTTGGCAAAATAAAATGTGTTTATTTGAAATTATCGTTTGTAAAAGCGTGTTTGTCATTATAGCTGTCAATATTGTTCTGTAGTGGTCAGTGAACTATCAACATCAACACATGACTATAGGCCACCATTCAACAACTCTGAATGTAGAAAACATTCGATAAAAATGTGTTCCTAATACTGTGCTTTAATATCATCAAAATGTGTTCTGTGTTTATTCGAAGAAAAATATCACCTCATTATTATTACTGTACCTCTTCTGTTTAAATGTTACGTACAACGCATACTTGAAAGTTCAGTGGTTAAAAACACAACTTAAACTTGTTAGTGCAGTAAAAATAAGAGAAAAATTCCATAAACCTAAAAAAAATTAGCACAACCGGGGAATTTGGTACAGATGTTGGGTGTACCTTCCTTTTGAACATACTAAAAGTCCCCTAAAATTGAAGCTGTGCTACGGCCGCCATATTGGAAAATGGCGGCATATTTCTGTATTTTTCGCTATGGTGACTTTATTTTTAGAGATACACGAAAAAGCTAAATGTACAAAATGTAGGTCATCTAAAAATACACATTTTTTGTATTTACCATCATTCTCTAAACCCAACGGTTTTTGAGTTATTCGTTATTAAGTATATTTAGTTTTTTTCTATTTATCAAAAATAGGTGAAACATATGGAAATTGACCGTTACTTTCAAGGATTATGATAATTTATCCTATTTAGTTAAATAGTGCGATACTATATAATCTAAAAATTTAAGCTTATTTTATGAGTAAAACAACTCCGCCACAGCAAACCTGCAGACTCAGCAAATTTCCATTTGATTGGATGTTTTATTTAGATAATATTAGATTCAACAGATACCTAGGTTTGCTGCTACAGGTAGGTTATTATAGTGTGTGTTTTTTTTTTGTAAAATATCAATAACTTAGTATAAAATAATTAATTTTCCAAGTTTGATCATAATAAATCTATAAACAAACAAACTGCAACGGTTAACTAATTCATAATAATAGCATGGTAGCTTAAGATTTACAATTTACAAATTTAAATATACAAATTTTGGTTGTGTTTACTGAAAATATGGCGATTATTCGTCACGATTCGAATACTAACCGAATGAGTTTTCATAAGGAGATGAAGCAAGTAATTTAAGTACTGTAATATTAACTCGTACCAAGTATCGGAAATAATGTATGCAGTGAGGAAATCAACCATATTTTGTAAACTACGCAATAGTCATATTAATATTTTATACTAATTTTTACCCATTTAATAAATTAACATTTTAATATTTTGATGGCACTACCACTATCACTCTGATATCAACTAAGTGGGATGAATAATTGTCGTAAACCTAGAAAAGTAACCGTTGATTGCGATGGGTTTCACCGATTTTTGATAAATAAAACTAACTATACTTTACCATACTTAATTAGTCACCAACATGAACCAGACACGAAAAACACCCTTCCAAATTTACAATGGGATGTCAAGTATAGTTAGTTAGTGTAGTGGTGCCATCAAAATACTAAAATTTTAACTATTAAATGGGTAAAAAATTAAGATAAAATATTAATATGACTATTGCGTACTTTACAAAATATGGTAGATCACCTTACTGCATACAATATTTTCGGTGCTTGGTACGAATTAATATTACTTAAATAACAGGCTCCATCTCCTTTTGAAAACCCATTTGGTTAATATTCTAATCGTGACTAATCGCCATCTTTTTAGTAAACACAACCAAAATTTGTCTATTCAAATTTGTTTATTGCAAATTTAAAACTCCCATGCTATTCTTATGAATTAGTTAACTGTTGCAGTTTGCTTGTTTATTGATATATTTTTATCAAACTTGGAAAATTAGTTATTTTATAGTAATGTATTGATATTTTACTTAAAAAAACACACTATAAAAACCTACTTGTAGCAGCAAACCTAGGTACCTGTTGAATCTAATTTTATTTAAATAAAACATCCAATCAAATGGAAATTTGCTGAGTCTGCAGGTTTGCTGTGGTGGAGTTGTTTTACTCATAAAATAAGCTTAAATTTTTAGATTTTATAGTATCGCACTATTTAACTAAATAGGATAAATTATCATAATCCTTGAAAGTAACGGTCAATTTCCATATGTTTCACCTATTTTTGATAAATAGAAAAAACTAAATAATACTTAATAACAAATAACTCAAAAACCGTTGGGTTTAGAGAAAAAGGGTAAATACAAAAAATGTGTATTTTTAGATGACCTACATTTTGTACATTTAGCGTTTTCTTGTATCTCTAAAAATAAAGTCACCATAGCGAAAAATACAGAAATATGCCGCCATTTTCCAATATGGCGGCCGTAGCACAGCTTCAATTATAGGGGACTTTTAGTATGTTCAAAAGGAAGGTACACCCAACATCTGTACCAAATTCCCCGGTTGTGCTAATTTTTTTTGGGTCATAACATATTTTTACTGTACTATGTGGATTACATTGATATACTACTAAAATACAGTTTAGGTATACAGTAAAGGGTACTTTACATTTACATATAAACGATGAGGTGCGACGTAAAGCTATAAATTGCCAAACAATTGCTCGGCTCGACGGACACGCTACATTAATCAAAACTCTATTCAATATGTAAAAGGAAGTTTTGGTCCATTTATCACTGGATAGTTTGGTGACACAGTGTTGTTTGTAAGATATATATTTTGCTCTTGTTATACTTTTATACCACAATAAAACATTGTAAAATGTATATCCATAAAACCTTTACTGTAAAAATAATCAACGTTACTCTAAAATGACATTGTTTTAATATGTGGATATTAGTAAATATCCCATATAGAGAATAAAGTATTATAATATATTTTGTGTTTTAGCTGTTGTTGCAAACGAAAGATTTAAAATAATTTGTTTCCCATACGATGTGAACCTGTAACTTGAATTCATAATTATCAAAAATTACATTACAATTATATTCCAATCTATTTAGCTGTAATGTAGATATTAATTTACAGTACTCGACTAATTACAGTATATAGTTTAAAATGATTGATAACTCTGATATTAGTTGTAATTATCATATCAATGGAACTGTTGGGCACAGTTAATTAATTTATTATTTCATAATTACACCCGATTTCAGTTGAAATATTTGTAATTTATGTGATTTATTCTTTAAATAACTGAGTTTCCACACAACTGTTATAACGTGATGCACTGAAGCTTTAACATTAATCGACTACAAAGATCATCAACCTTCGGGAAGTATTTTACCCTTAAAAGCCATAAAATCTACCTCAATAAGGCTTCAATATCGTAGGTTATGGCAAAGCTGCGTCAGTCATCTTTAACCTTAAGCCTGCCATAGAAAGGACGAAATAGAATCAATAAAGCTTTATCTCACAATATAGAAGACCAAGGTTCATTGTGATCGAACTTGGCTTCGACAGTAAAATACCAACCAGAGTTATGGGCATTATATTCATCAGTACCTTTGTTCTTAATTCATTCAGGGCTTTGTTCTTAACACTGGCATGTTACTACATTTGTCTTAGTATGAATAACTAAAGATATACATTGATCTGTGCCGTCACTATATAGGAGAGAGCAGAATTTTAAATTTAAAAGAATACATTCATCGATTAGTGTATATTTTATATTTTATTTGGCTACGTTTAATATTGTGTACTTTTTTGCAGAATATATGCGCGCTTTTAGTAATAATGGGGTTAATAAGAACGTTATTTTTTTACTGAGCAAATAGATGATATCTAATTCATAACTGTTACATCTTTATCAAATGTTGGACCTAGAAATTGCACTTACATGCAACCGTTGACATATATTTTTGTTTATAGCTTTATTTGCCCAAACAAGCATATTAACGGTTAGTCACAGTGATGCGTGGTTTTTGCAAACATAAGCAGACAAGAAAGGCACAAAAAAGGAAATACTAGTCAAATATTTCTTTCCGTGTACATAATTCAAAATATTACTTTAGAACCTATCTCTTTAAATTTTCGTAAGGTTACGGAAATCGTTAAACACTTTGTAACGTTATTAACTATTAATTAGTTACGATAAATTGTTTATCCAGATCGTTTGGTAGATATTTTCTCGACCCTAAATTCAAACTATCTCCTGTAATGTCATACTGTAATGGTTAACTTACTTAGCTTCTAGGGCCAGAGCGAACACACCGGCGGCTTCCGGTGCTGCTGCGGAAGTTCCGGAGTGTGTGGTTGTGCACTTCCCATACAGGTCTGTCGTAGCCTGCAACAATAATAATATGAGTTTACGTGGAATGTTCTCATTAAATATAAGTTCTTTGAAAGGAGGTCATACTAGATGACTTTCAAAATTCCTTTAATGAACTAGTTAAATTAATGTTTGGTATATCTAAGGGAGATAAGTTAATTTTTAAGCATATGGGTTTTCTGTTGCATATAAATATGTAAGCATATGTTGTGCTAATTTGAGAAATATTTTATAACCTGACGGGAGGTGTGAATTAGGGTTTGAGATTGTTTTCACCCTTCGGGACCATGCATCTACAAACAAGCTGTAATTTAATTTTTTCTACCACATAATGTTATAAATAACATATTTCCTTAGATTAAAAAATTACACAAAATATATAAAAATTAATTTACATACTAACAGTTTTTTTTTTTTTTTCCAGAAAATGAATATACTTTGCAAGACATGCAAAAATTACGCAAAAATTTACGTAATTAATGTAGAGGATACATAGCTTTGTGTAAATATGTTATAAACACATATCAAGCAAAACTATGAAAGTGTGTGTTGTTTATGATAAGCTTAATAACTAGAATTAGATATTTACAGTAATAATTTATCTTATTGCAATCATGCCTATTTATAGACCCATATGACAGTGTCAATTTCAATTATTATGTTTGCAGGAATTGATATTAATCTTAGGTATTGGTGTAATATCGAATATCAACTAGCTGTATATTGAACAAATATGTATCGGCTTACACAAACAAACCAAAGATAATAATGTAGATATGATTAATTCTATTCTCCATACTATTAGTGTCACTTTAAAAGCAGATTTAATTTTTTTTATTCAACACGACCAATACAAAGTATGATCGTTGTAGTCTCCTAAAGGAATTTATATTAAATACAATATTAAAATATGCACAATGGTCTTGTTGGATTCATATCTCTTTCATTTTTACAGATTTATAATTTCTACACTAACCCTTTTTAAAATAAACACCAATACTAAAAAAAAATTAAACAATTTACTTTGTTTCAAAAAAATTAATGAAAGAACAGTATGTTTACTAATACAGAATCACGAAATAACTATTGATGATAATCCGTAATGAAGCATAACATTTTAATCTAAACATGACACACATATCCTGCCTAATTACACCAATGGGTGGTTTACATGAGCCATGTTAGAAGCAGTGCATTTGCAAGTTGATGACGGGTCAAGGCTAGTAAATGGTCGTTTTGCTTACACTCGTGTTCGTGTTAGAGCTGCATCAGAGCTGAGTGGTCTTATTAATGTTCAGAGGCGAAGCCATGCCTCAACTCTCTCAACCCATTAATGTCCATCTTTGTCAAACTTTATCGCAGGTAATAGTTCATACCTTCAGCTTAAACCTAGTGGTTCTGATCTACAATTGAATAAAGACTGTCAAATATTATAGCTATATAGAAAAATTACGAATATTTGTTTCATTTATGGCCATAAGCATTAAGCTTCGATTTATTTATTAAAGACTAAACGAAAAAAACAGATAATTATTTAATGAAGATGTCAAATGTTAGGTTACAGAAAGATTGCGTGTTTTTGTAAGTATGGGATTTGAAAATGAATTACAATTATCAAAAAACAAATGAATCAAAGTGATGAAGAAGAATTTCCCGCAATTCGCAGGGATCCAAGAGATGGAGATATGTGGTAAATGATGCATTGGTCAAATATGATACGAGTGTCCATTTGCTCATGGTATCACATAAGAGATTCCGATAACTTCCTCAAAATCACCTCTATAATCGTCCTGGTCATCATTACCTACATTACCTATCATTAAGCTGTATCGCTTGCTTCCTCATCATTTTAGGTATTGAAGTTTAATCGCCAACTATGTGTTGAATCATGTTCATCGATACGCATTGCCAATGCATGTCCCAAATATAGGGAACTTTTATTTAAGATTTTAAAAGGTAAAACATGATGTAAAATATGTTATGCAGTAAAACGCAACTGTTCATTTGTCAGTCTGGTTCGTTCTACAATCAGGCGTCGGCGTAAGTTTTCCGAATAGTCCTTAGCAAAATTTCGGTTAGTCAGATTCAAGGTTTGATTGGCTGAGGTCCCTTTCGACTCGCCCGTAGGCTTTGTTACTTAGCGTTATTACTGTTTTAGCAGCATTTTTGTTGTCCTCGTAAGTAATGCGTAATTTTTGACTGTGCTCACCGATACGGCATTTCGGTAATCCGGCACTGTCCGAGACAAGAAAGAATCCGTATAAGTGAGTGTCATAATTGTTTTTGGTCTCATTGGAATGCCAATTGTGTGTCATTAGTCTATACAGGGTGATTGGTACTCAGTGTGACAAAATTTTTTTGGTGTAAGTACAAAGTAAATTAAGTGTGATGATGCATATCAAATGTTCCGAGTCTAAAAATTAGCTTCCCAAAAATTATTTTATGTTTTTTTTTTTTCAAAAATAACCATGCTGTTAAACTTAATACAGCGATTTCTCAACTACCTGTAAATGGAATTGTGTAGATAATGTCATTTTCGTGTTCTACATTAAATTTTGAACAAGAATAATAGAAAATAACGGAGGATCAGTTGTAAAAACTCTATTGTAAATAGATTAACAGATAAAAATTAAGATTTTTGATAAAAATTTAAAAAAACAATGGTCTATTGCATTTTTCACACCCTGTATACAAGAAAGTGTCGGAATATGTTAAAAACTGAGCCATTTTATAAGCTTTCCAACCATATGCTACACCATTGAGCTTTATGTCCGCTTATGTACGCTTTAGTGGTTTGAAGACTACAAAGCATGGTGTCTTTAACATTTAAAACATAGAAAGTCGGCATGTATTAAGCAAAAATTGTATTTTTGTTTCAGCTTGAACAGTAAAAACAGTAAAAAAGTTCCCTGTTTTCTGGTATTCAAACCACTAAAACAAACAACAAAATATCTAAACCTCAAGAGTGTAGCATATGGTTGGAAAGCTTATAAAATGGCGCAGATTTTAACATATTTTAGTTTTTATCTTTGAATCTTGAAGTTTTTATCTTGGAGTTTTTACAACTGATCCTCCGTCATTTTCTATTATTCTTGTTCAAGATTTAATGTAGAACACGAAAATGACATTATCTACTCAATTCCATATACAGGTAGTTGAGAAATCGCTGTATTAAGTTTAAAAGCATGTTTATTTTTGAAAAAAAAAACATAAAATAATTTTTTGGGAAGCTAATTTTTAGACTTGGAACATTTGATATGCATCATCACACTGCATTTACTTTGTACTTACACCAAGTCACACTGAGTACCAATCACCCTGTAGAATCGTTTTACCTCGTGGGCGCCGCTTGTGGCTCAAATTATGCGCTAACTGAAATTTGTCCGACCACTTGTTCCTTCTAAGGTAGAGTAATTTACCATTTAAGTGGTAAAAGTATACTTCTGAGCAATTCTAAGTATGTAGCTTGTGCTGTATGTCTAGGAACATTAGTTCACAGGTCATTACGAAAGAAAATCTTGTCGATAATTAAATTCAATATAGCAATAAATTGATTTGGACCCGCGCCAGGTGGCATGTTTCCCTGTCTGTTTAAGCCTGAGGGTATTTGACCCCAATTGACAAAATGTTACTTATAAAATTAAGATTCGTCCCGTTATCGCTGATGCACGACACGTACATCCACATAAAAAGCCAAACTGAGGATTGGAATTCTATATTTAGCTTTACTAGAATAGCTTACCGGTATGGCTTTTAAGAGATCAAACAAAGAAAATCACAGATAACCCATCCATTTATTGGATTTTAACAAAGTGTGTATATTTGAGCAAGAACCTGCAAACAACTAATATCAGATAAATGAAAAATATAATTACCACTCCAGTATTCGGGTCTTTGGCACCGTTGCTGAAGGTAGATGCAAGAGTCGAAGAACAGCTTTCATCGTAATGAGCGTTCTGTCCATCGTTGATTGCGGAGTTGATGGAAACCGTCCACATGCTAGCTGCGTATCCGTCACAGTTACAGTCGTCATCCTCACCTCCGTCACCACTGGCCCACACGTAGATGTTACCTAGCCCGTTCCTGCCCTGTAACAGCATAATGCACAAGTTGATAGTAACGGTCAACATTCTAGCTGCGTATCCGTCACAGTTACAGTCGTCATCCTCACCTCCGTCACCACTGGCCCACACATAGATGTTACCTAGCCCGTTCCTGCCCTGTAACAGCATAATGCACAAGTTGATGGAAACCGTCCACATGCTAGCTGCGTATCCGTCACAGTTACAGTCGTCATCCTCACCTCCGTCACCACTGGCCCACACGTAGATGTTACCTAGCCCGTTCCTGCCCTATAACAGCATAAAGCACAAGTTGATAGTAACGGTCAACATGCTAGCTGCGTATCCGTCACAGTTACAGTCGTCATCCTAACCTCCGACACCACTGGCCCACACGTAGTTGTTACCTAGCCCGTTCCTGCCCTGTAACAGCATAAGGCACAAGTTGATAGTAACGGTCAAACATTCTAACTGCGTATCCGTCACAGTTACAGTCGTCATCCTCACCTCCGTCACCACTGGCCCACACGTAGATGTTACCTAGCCCGTTCCTGCCCTGTAACAGCATAAGGCACAAGTTGATAGTAACGGTCAAACATTCTAACTGCGTATCCGTCACAGTTACAGTCGTCATCCTCACCTCCGTCACCACTTGCCCACACATAGATGTTACCTAGCCCGTTCCTGCCCTGTAACAGCATAAGACTTAAATTAAGCATACTTCCAAAATACTCAATGCTTGGTACAATAATTAACTAGCCTTACACAAGACGTTCAAACTCCTTACACAAATCCCAAGTTTTGTAAATTTTATCCAAGTGTGCTAATTTATATATTTACCAAATAAAAGTTCGGTTTTAATTGTGCTGTGCATCTTAGTTTTATTATAATTAGAGTGCATTAAATGTACTCTTATTATAATAGATTGACGATTACTAACGCAGAATTGTATCTATTTAAGAAAATGATGCATAACAACTGAGATACCTATTTTAAAGATTCATTTCAGATTTGTTTGGATTTGTTTGTGGTTTCTTATGTCAAAGCACGATTACAGCCGCATTATTTTTTTTCATTTACGTTGTACGACAGAGATACGGATGTTTATAACCTAACTAGGTCTCATTTTGGTAAACGTCTTACTGAAATTTCTCATTCAAAGCAATGTGGCTTGCCTCGGGCGTATTTAGACATAGAACTAAAAACTAATGTAAGTCTGTTCATCTTGGACAAAATTTAAATTTAAATAAGTTTTATAGGACTTTTGAATCTTCGTATTTACGGAGACTGCTTATCATTGTAACGAGTTTGCATCAGGATTTATGGTGATATTGTGTATAAGTTGGTATATTTTAATATAAAACTATAGTTACAACTCACAATTATACTATTAATTAACAGTCCTGGCTATGAAACATATCGGCCTCAGTCAGTAATAAGACTACAAGATCGTGCCACTTATTCAACACTGTGAGGGAATTTCTGTGTGTGTGTCGATTTCGTTATCTTATCGCCAAAGATAGTTCAGCAGTGCTGGGTTTAAATTTCCAGGGGTCGATGTGAATCAACAAAATATTGTTGTTCTGAAATTCCACTCAATATTAATTTCGTCTCAAATAATCTAAAGTGTCGATCGTCTGTGTTTAATCAAAATCCTTTATTGAAATGATAGGGTAACTCAGTGAAATGTGCGAACCAGTTGTCGCTATTCACTCATCATCGTTACCTTATCAGACGCGAGAGAAAACGTTGTCGTGTATAATCTATGTGTCGTGTTATCTGTTAATTCAATTCTCGCGTTAGAGTCTATTTCAAGAATTAGGTTCGATAGCTTGTACAGCTAGTTAGGATGCTGAATGTTCTTCGAGCAAACTAGGATCGGTATCAAAGGTTATAGGATCAAACTAAACCTTGCTACGCTCCGATCGTTACCCTAACCCCACGCAAATGCGCTCTATACAACCAAGAGGTTAAGGATAGATAGCATGCACAGCTAACTAGGATGCTGAATATACTTCAGCAATCTAGGATAGGTTACGGTAGGTTAATCGTTACCCAAACGCCCGTATGAACCTCGGTCGCTACCCTAAACCCCACGCAAATGCGCTCTAAACAACAAAGAGGGTAAGGATAGATAGCCTGCACAGCTAACTAGGATGCTGAATATACTTCGGCAATCTAGGATAGGTTACGGTAGGTTAATCGTTACCTAAACGCCCGTATACACCTCGTTCGCTACCCTAATCCCACGCAAATGCGCTCTAAACAACAATAAGGTCAAGGGTAGATAGCCTGCACAGCTAACTAGGATGCTGAATATTCTTCAAGCAATCTAGGATAGGTTACGGTAGGTTAATCGTCACCTAAACACCCGTATGCACCTCGTTCGCTACCCTAATCCCACGCAAATGCGCTCTAAACAACAATAAGGTCAAGGGTAGATAGCCTGCACAGCTAACTAGGATGCTGAATATTCTTCAAGCAATCTAGGATAGGTTACGGTAGGTTAATCGTTACCTAAACGCCCGTATGAACCTCGGTCGCTACCCTAAACCCACGCAAATGCGCTCTAAACAACAAAAAGGTTAAGGGTAGATAGCCTGTACAGCTAACTAGGATGCTGAATATACTTCAGCAATCTAGGATAGGTTACGATAGGGTAATTTGGATAACTACGACCCCCACTATCCTTTAAAGATCCCAATTAATCAACAGGCTAACGCTAGCTAAGTGAGCACTAAAACAGCTACCCTTAGCTATTTATAAAACAGCTATTCAGATGTGTAGTGAATACAAAAGCAAAACTGAGCAAAATCAAATGCTATATCGCTAGTCAATGTCGAGGATCCAATCACTAACAACTATAATCGACGGCTAACTATAAACTATTATTCCGGTAGTAGATTCGGTGTTAACTTTGATAGCTATCGATTTCAATACGATCGATAGTTCGGATCAGACGCAAAATAATAACAAAACGTCGAACAAAACACTGTTGTGTTGTGCGTGGCAAATAGGTTATGTCGTTATTAAATCGTAAACACCTTATAGCTAATTAATTGTGTCTCGTAACTCTCTCTACGTTGAATTAAGTACCAGAAATTCGTTAAGCATACAAGATAGGGTAGGAGGCTATAGAATGGCGTACACTGCCCAAAGGATGCTGCTTATACTTCAGCAAAAGGAGAGGTGTTTGGAGGGCAACATTGAGTTTATATGATGTTATACTACACAAGCTTAGGCTATTGTCACCCTCAAATTATATAGTTCTTCAATAACAACTAGGCTAAGGCTTAACCTATTAAATCACTCCTTAACTGCGATACAAGAGGGTTTAGGTAATTGAGTAGCGTGTTCCGCCCAAAGGATGCTGCTTGTGCTTCAGCAAAAGGAGGGATATTGGAAGGTGACACAGAGGTTATGTAATATAAGATGTGTTGGTAAAAATCCTTTAGAATACTCAATTGGCCTTACTCAACTTTTGCTTTCCTCAATAGCCTAGTGTATGCTAACTCGTTTGGATTTTATATTGCTAGTCGGCAAAATTTCTTTAACTTCAAACTAATTATTTCACAATTTAAAATCTAAATTAAATTGCAAAAAATACCAATTGATCACTGATCAAAATCGAAAACCTCGTTTATCGTGAACAAATTATCGCAAATCAATTAATCAATATCGATCGTGAATATCAAAACGTAAAACTACTAATTTCCCTGAATCATAAGATGATATCAAGTAGGCACTATACCTTAGAGAGAGACGTGTTGATTGGGTCACAAAATGGCACAGACTGTCCGGCGGCGCCCGGTCCCAGTGGTTTTGTTGCACGTCTGGGCCGGTCATGCGCAGAAACCAGTTTTGGCAGTCCGACTCGGCCTCGGCGGCGGCTACATCGGTGCTCGCGCTAACTACTTGAGCCTCGCCTCGCCATGCTTAACCTCAAAATCGTTGATCGTTCGTACTACTATGATGATCCTCAAGTAAAAACATTTTTGTCTTCCGATTTCAGCCGTGATATGATAAAAAAAGGTGAGGTGTAAAAAATCAACCCTTACATCCTCCACTCACTTCGTGGAAACAAAAAAAAGAAACAGAAAAAGAAAAAAAAACATTCTCAACTTCTTCTAAACCAAAATTCAAATTCTTCGAAACTAAAACACAAATAACTTCAATGTCCTTCGATTTGTAGATCCTACTCCTGGGATCTAAAAATATTTGCAATCTTCTACGGAGTAAAGAAATGAAACTTCTTAACATCAAAACAAAACTGAGCTTACTCAAATGGCTCACTTCCACGCTGGTGGGGGACAAGTCCCAACTTTCGAATATTGATCCTCTTGATCTCGTTCGTCCCGGGTATCTGGATCTTCATAGTTCGTCTTTTCCCTCGTCTCCTTGCTGGACGATTGGGTCGATTCTCATCGGACTCGGCTCTCGGAGTGTTCGTAGGGATCACTTCAAATTTCGTTGGCGATTTCTTCTTCGGTGGGGGTGCAGGGGTATTCGGGATGGCCAATTTCTTCCGATCAAATCGAGTAGCAGCAGTCTGGTTTGGATGATCTTGACTAACCACTCGAACACTGTAAGCACAAGAGGGTTCAGGCTCCAGCCCACAAACTGTGGTGTCTTCTATCTCGGCTCGTTTCCCTGACGGCTGGGTAGAATCGTTGACACTTGGAACAGTCCGGCATGGGCCTAGGAAATCCTCTTCGATTTTCACGGCTAGTATGTTCAATTTTCTTATCATGTCCATGCCCAAGATTATAGGTGTGCCTAATCTAGGAAGGTGGACTACTTCCAGCTCGTGGTTCACACCTCTTATAGTGGATGGCAGGGTAAAACACCGGTTCAATGTCATTTCCGAGTTGTTGGCCATGACAACCTTGACTTCTTGATTTTCTAGTTGCACCTTCCGTTCAATAAAATCAGCGACCTCGTCACCTATTAGGTTTATCGTGGAACCAGTGTCAATCAGTGCTTTAAAATCTCTACCAAACATCGAAACCTTTATGTACGGCCTCAGGTCTTTCGTTACTCTTTCTGAGTTATAACAGTGAATGGTGCCTAACTGGAAGTTGGAGGTCGTTGCACTAGGTCGGATCTCGGACTCCGGCGACCTCCGTGGTCCATCGTCCGTCTCTCGTTTCCCGACTTCG